AATCCATGTGATGTATGTCATTTTTCTAGACAAAGAAAACTCAGTTTTCCTATCAGTACATCTATTGCTGCATCACCTTTTGATTTAATCCATTGTGATCTATGGGGTCCATTTTCTGTTGCTTCTCATGATGGTTATAAATATTTCTTAACTATTGTTGATGATCATAGTAGGGTCACATGGGTTTACCCTCTTGTTCACAAGTCTGATACTCAGAAACATCTCATGCATTTTCATAACATGGTTTTCACTCAATTTGGAAAGAAAATCAAAGTTCTTAGATCAGACAATGGCACAGAATTTTTCTTAAAAGAGTTTTATCATAACAATGGAATCATTCATCAAACTAGTTGTGTTGAAACTCCACAACAAAATGGAAGGGTAGAGAGAAAACATCAGCATATTTTACAAATTGCTAGAGCATTATTATTTCAAGCTCATCTACCCTTGATTTTCTGGAAAGATTGTATTCTTGCTGCTGTGCATATCATTAACAGAATACCAACTGCAGCCTTAAACAACAAATCTCCTTTTGAGGTCCTGTTTCAAAAACCCCCATCTTATGATCATCTCAGGGTAATTGGGTGTTTGTGTTATGCTTCTACCTTAACTGCACAAAGGTCAAAATTTGATACTCGAGCTTCAAAATGCATATTTCTAGGTTATCCTTTGGGTTGTAAAGGTTACATCCTTTACAATCTGGATAACAAGAATACATTTATATCCAGACATGTTCAGTTTTATGAAGAGGTATTTCCCTTTCATAACTACCAAAACACAACATCTGATTTCATTTTCCCTCAACCCCCTGAGTTTCACTTTGATACATATACACAGAACACCTCTCAATTACAGCCTACTGCTCCTCAAATAAATACTTCCCCTCAGATACATTCTTCCCCCCTCCACACAAACACTACCATACAAGATACCCAGATTCCAACTCATTCAACCTCAAGCACAGATAATACCAACTCTACCACTTCCTCTCCATCTCTCAGAAGATCTACCAGAATATCTAAGCCCCCTTCATACTTAACCATATACAAACACAGTATTCCTGGCCAACCTTCCTCTTCAGTTGTGACTACCTCTGAAACTGAGTCTGGTACATCTTTATACCCCATCTCTGATCACCTATCTACATCTTTACTTTCTTCTAGGCATACTTGTTTCACTGCATCTATATCTCATCTCTCTGAACCTAAGTCCTATTCATCTGCAGCCAAAGATCCATTATGGCAGGCTGCAATGAAAACTGAATTAGATGCACTTGAAAAGACAAACACATGGTTTCTTACTACTTTGCCAGAAGGTAAAAAGTTCATAGGGTGTAAATGGGTATACAAGATAAAGTATAAATCAGATGGTAGTATAGAAAGGTATAAGGCTAGATTAGTAGCCAAAGGCTACACACAAGAGGAGGGAATAGATTACTTTGATACTTTTTCCCCTGTGGCTAAAATAACAACAGTAAGATTCCTGGTAGCCCTTGCTTCTATTAAAAACTGGCATATACATCAATTAGATGTAAATAATGCCTTTTTACATGGGGACTTAGATGAAGAAGTCTATATGCAGCCCCCACCAGGTTACTGTTCTGCTACATATAACAGAGTTTGCAAACTTACAAAATCTTTATATGGTTTAAAACAGGCTAGCAGGCAGTGGTTTCAAAAATTAACTAACTATTTACTAACTTATGGTTTTAAACAATCTGTGGCAGACTGCTCTTTATTCACTATGTCCATTAATGGTTCATTTACTGCTTTACTTGTTTATGTAGATGATATTATAATTACTGGAGATGATTTGAATGTTATTACTACTGTCAAACAACATTTGGATTCTTGCTTTACTATAAAAGACCTTGGCACATTGAAATATATTTTGGGTATTGAGTTTGCCCATTCCTCAAAAGGCATTAACATGTGTCAAAGGAAATATGCTTTAGACATTCTTGATGATACTGGTTTTCTGGGATCTAAACCTGCTAAAACTCCTATGGATTGCAATTTAAAACTCAGTCAAACCTCTTCTTCTCCTTTGTCTGATATTACTGCTTATAGGAGGTTAATTGGCAGACTTTTATATCTTACCATTTCTAGACCTGATATAGCATTTAGTGTTCAAAGCCTTAGCCAGTACATGGTAAGTCCAACTGAACAACATCTTGCTGCTGCTCACAGAATTCTAAGGTATGTAAAAGGGACAGTTGGTCAAGGTATGTTTTTTCCCAGATCATCTT